AGCAGCGATTGTTATTCTTCATCTATTCCTTGGCTTCACTAGGCCATCTTCCAGGCCATCTTCAGAGTGAGGAAGGGTGCTTTTATTGTATGTGTATCCATAGACTTCAACACATGCAATTGCCTGCCCTTGATCAAGCTGTTTACTAGTCTGTTCCCATAAGCTATTACCTTCACTGAGTGGAGTAACCAGGCCAGTCCTGCTTTCTTACAGTTTCCATATCAAGCCTTTGTAAATGCTCAAAGCTTCAACTCTTATAATTTAGATTAAAATTACAAGAGAAAGAAAAATCCCTCTGGTTGCAGGAATGAGCATCATACTTATGTGAAAAGATTCAGCACTGGCTGGGTTGGAAATGGAAACAGACTCTTAAGAGTAGGTGGAAAAGCTGGAAAGAAACACAAATGGCCTATAAACCACAAGAACAAAAAGTTTAAACTTATTACTTGTATCAGTCAAGGTTCTCCAGAGAAACAGAGCCAAGAGGATATCTGTATATATAAATCTGTAAGGCAGGCCAGCATGCTGGAAACTCAGGCAGGATTTCCATGCTACAGTCTTAAGGCAGAATTCCTTCTTTGTGGAACTTCAGTTTTAGGCCTTAAGGCCTTCAATTGATTAGATAAGGCCCACCCACGTTATTGAGGATAATCTTCTTTCTTTCTTTCTTTCTTTATTTTTTTTAAATTTTTTATTTATTTTATTTTCCCCCCCAACGCCCCATTAGATAGTTGTATGTCATAGCTGCACATCCTTCTAGTTGCTGTATGTGGGACGCGGCCTCAGCAGGGCCGGAGAAGCAGTGCGTCGGTGCGCGCCAGGATCCAAACCCGAGCCGCCAGTATCGTAGCGCGTGCACTTAACCGCTAAGCCATGGGGCCGGCCCAGTAGTCATTTTTTTAATCATGTCTTTTTCTAGGAATATTGACAGAAAATGTTCTGAATGAAACAAGATCAGATATAAAATAGAATATGTGATAAGATCCTAGTTAGGTTTTTTTTTTTGTTTTGGGGGATATAATTCACACAACAAAATTCATCCTTTTAAAGTCTACAATTCAATAGTTTTTAGGAATCATCACAAAGTTGTGCAGCCATTACCACTGTCTAGTTCCAGAAGAAACCCTGTTTCTTCTTAGCAGTTATTCTCCATATGCTCTCTCCCTCCGGCCCCTGGCAACCACTCATCTATTTCTGTCTCTTTGAATTTACCCTGTCTGGACGTTTTAAATAAATGGAATCATATATAACCTGTGTTCCTTTGTGACTGGCTTCTTTCACTTAGCATAGTGTTTTCAAGGTCCATCCATGTTGTAGCAGGTGTCATTACTTCATATCTTTTTACGGCAGAATAATATTCCATTGTATGAGTATCCATTTTGTTGTTGGACATTTGGGTGGTTTCCACTTTTGGTATTATGAATAATGCTACTATGAACATTCGTATAAGTTTTTGTGTGGACAGGAAAAATTTTCGTTACTCTTGGGTACATACCCAGGAGTGGAATTGCTGGATCATGTGGTAAAACTCTGTGTTCAACAATTTGAGGAACTGCCACACTTTTCCAAGAGGGCTGCGGTGTTTTCCATTCCCACCAACAGTATATGAGGGTTCCAGTTTCTCCACATCCTCACCAGCAGTTGTTACTCTTTTTCATTATAGCCATCCTAGTGGGTTTGAAGTGGTGTCTCATTGTGGTTTTGATTTGCATTTCCCTGGGTAATGATTTTGAGCATCTTTTCGTATACTTACTGGCCATGTGTATATCTTTCTTAGAGAAATGTCTATTTAAGTCCTTTGCCCACTTTTAAATTGGGTTGTCTTTTTATTGTTGAATTATAAGAGTTCTTTATATTCTATTCTGGATTTTAGTCCCTTATCAGATATAGGATTTGCAAATTATTTCTCCCATTTCGTTAGTTATCTTTTCACTTGATAATGTCCTTTGGAGCACAAAAGTTTTTAATTTATATGATGTCCAATTTTTTTTCTTTTGTTGCTTGTGCTTATGGGGTCATATCTAAGAAACCATTGCCTGTTTACACCTGTTTTCTTTTAAGAGCTTTAGCCATTACATTTAGGTCTTTGATCCATCTTTAGTTAATTTTTGTGTAAGGTGTGAGGTAAGGGTCTAGCTTCATTCTTTTGTGTGTGGGTATCCAGTTGTCCCAGCACCATTTGTTGAAAAGACTGTTCTTTACCCATTGAATTGTCTTGGTACCCTTGTTGAAAAGCAGATTACTATAAATGTATAGGTTTGGTTTTGGACTCTTAATCCTATTCCATTGATCTATATGTCTGTCCTTAGGCCACTGCTACACAGTCTGTATTACTGTAGCTTTGCAGTAAGTTTTGAAATGGGGAAGTGTGAGTCCTTGAACTTCGTTCTTTTTCAAGATGGTTTTGGCTGTTCTGGGTCCTTTGCATTTCCATATAAATTTTATGATCACTTGTCCTTTTCTGAAAAAAAAGGCAGCTGCGATTTTGATGGGGATTGCATTGAATCTATAGATCACTTTGGGGAGTATTGCCATTTTAACAATACTGTATTCCAATCCAAGTACATGGGATGTCTTTCTATTTATTTAGGTCTTTAATTTTCCAGTGAGTTTTAAAATACGTGTTTTAATGAATGGTGTGTTTGTGTGTATGCACTTTAAACCAACACAAACAAGACTAAAAGGAAAAGTATAAAATGTTATCAGTCATAGTGATTAAGTATTTTTTAAAACTTGTATTGTGAAATATAACGCATGTATGGAAAACTACATAAAACAAATGTATAGGTTAACATGTAATTATAAAGCGATTGCCTATGAAACCTTCATTCAGGTCAAGTAGAACATTGCCAGCCTCCAGAAGCCATCCTTCCTCCAATCACAAACTATAGCCCTGCTAGGGAAAAGTACTATGGTATTTTTGTGGTAACCATTTCCTTCCTTCTTGTTATAGTTTTATCACTAGATGTGTATCCCTAAACAATATGGTTTCTTTTGCCTGTTTTTGAACTTTATATAATGCAGTCATACTCTATGTACTGTCTTGCTTCTTTCATTTAACACTCACACAGTATTTTATTTGTGAGATCCATCCAAGATGTGTGCAGCCAAGGTTCATTTTCAATGTTATGTTAATATTCTAAGAATAGCGCTTTGGACTTAGTAATTTTGATCAGATTTTCCAAACCCAAAATTGAAATAAGGACCACACCAGAAAATCCAGGGTACGTGTTGGTAGAGATACAGGGGTAGCTTTTAATAAATGTGGAGTGACAGCTGCCGTTACTTGAGTACTGACTACATGTTACATTCTCTAAGTACACATTATCCTATTTCCATCCTCACAGGAACCCTGCGAGGCAGTGGTCAATCAGCCCCTGTGAGGAAAGAGGGAACTGTGACACAGAGGATAGGGAACTTGCCCTAGCAAACAGGAAGTCCTGGGAGGAGGGAACTGAACCCAAGTCTCTTGTGGCTGCTGAGTGCTTCTCCCCTTGGCGCTCCCCGAACGCATCCTTGCTTCTCTTCCAGACCCGATGCCGCAGCTGGATGTGACTGAAGCCAACAAGGAGTTCATGGAGCAGAGCGAGGAGCTGTACGATGCACTGATGGAATGTCATTGGCAGCCCCTGGACACAGTGTCTTCAGAGATCCCCGCCATGATGTAGCCAGGACAAAGGACAAGCCAGAATGGACTATGTGAGGGAGACGAGAGACTCCTTTTTAAAATACATACATATATATATATATATATATATATATATCAAGAACTTTTACCCTTTTGGGAATATTTTGTAAGATTTTAGTAATCAGCTGTTTCCTGAGATTATGAATATTCCGGCAACACTTGCCTTCATTTGATAGTGACCTATTTGATTTTAAATGAAAACCAAGGGGCCATCTGTTGAAGAGGGGTTGAACAAGGTTCCAATTTGTCTGAACAATCATTTATCCAGGCAGGGTTATCTACACTCCTGGAGATAAGGAGAGTTTGGAATTATTAACCAAAGTGGATCATGTGACTTTATAAACCCACCCTTCTCATGTGCTAGGCATGTTAAGTCCTTAAAGTTCTCTGGCGTCAGAACGCATGGATTACCTGCTGTATGTCAAATGGTGGACAGTTTTATCTGCCATTTCAGATACCCCCTTCCCTCTTAACAAATTTGCTTCAAGTCTGGTGGCTGGTAAAGACTTCATTAGGCATTCCAGCCAGGAGGGAAGTGGCATGGCTCAGTGTGTAGTAGGAAGTGGAATCAGCTAAATCTAGACCAAAACGCTCAAGACTTGGAGTTTGGTCCAAGACCAGGTAGATTTTCAAAGGCCTCGATTGTTTTAAGGACAGACCTGTTGAAGGGCATTACTGTGCCATCTATGTGCCAAGCCCACCTGTGTTGACCTTAATTACCTAAATACATTGAATAGTTATGAATTTATTTACATATAGCAAATGGCTCACAAAGATACCTTGAGCTTAGTCAAGGTCAATCATTACTAAACCAGACCTCCATGCCAACCTTCTACACATCACTTCTGTATTTTCCAAATAAATCAGGAAATCCCACTTTCCAACTTAAACATTGTCATCTCTAGTACCCTCCTGAAAAGACTGGGTCTATGCTAGAAATCTGCATCTGATCATGTTTTGTGCTAGAGGAATGGAGAGGGGGGTACAGCTTGAGGCATGCCACAAGAAACCTTCCAAGATTCTTAAGGAAGCACCAATCTTAGGCTCAACAAAGGAGAAATACATATAATTGCAGTTATAGAATTGATCATATTGTCTTGAGAGGTCAGCCTTTTTAATGAAGAGATTAAGACTATAATTCAGCTTGGGTCTAATGGAGTATTTAGATATGGAAAAACCAACAATGTGAGAGACATCAAGAAAATTGACACAAACATATTTTCAGTCTTTTATTGGTCATTTATGTTCCAGGTACAGCATTAGCAAAAAAAAAAGCAAGTCACTGTTTCCACCTAAAGTAACATGTTGTGTTTCAGCTTGCCTCTTCTCGTACCACTTCTCTCCTGAAAACAAAGTATAAGCCAGTGTGTTAGTGTTGCCCCAGTTAGTCAACGCCACCCACGCATTTTCCTCAAAGCTGGTCTCAGTCCCATATCCGCATTTATCATCCACAGATGTCCACTCAGATTAGGTTTCATCCTGGACCAGTCACCCTAAAAAAAATACCCTGAGCGAGATGGAACTGTTTCTACCCAATCCATCTCCCATTCTCCCTGGGGAGGGATGGGTAAGACTCCATGATTTAAGGTTACCCCAAATAATGAAGCATGAGCTCAAGCCATTACAGCACATTCACAACAACCAGCCTCTGCTGCCAAAAAGCACAGGGCTGTCCCCTCTGCTACATTCTCACAGCAGAATGTGCTGTTGGCCTTTACAGTGGGCAAATCTATAGACCAAGTCACACTGGAAACATTTACTTTTGTTCTCTGGCCATGAGCAGCTAGCAAATATAGCACACAGGGAAGGCCAGATGTAAATGATATATTAAAAAGCTAAGATTTTTTACATAGACCCAAGTAGCCTTATATCTAGTTACTGCACTGCTTAGAGCTCACAATAGTCAAGCACTACCTGAAGCTCCAAGGAGGCTGTGATAAAGCTTCAGGGGGTCATTGAACTTACTCAGCTCTGTAGACCCATACTTGCAGATGAACACAGCTTCCTGGTAACATCTAAAAAAGGAGGACACAATCAAGAGGCAAGAAAGCCACTGATAAACCCTGTCGCAATACAGAAATATTAACCAGCAATCACTATACCCCCTGCCCAGAGCCTCGTGTACATCCTCCCTTTAAACATAAGATTATCTCGTTTTACAGGGAAGGAGAAAACAAGTTCAAAGAGAATTCAATCTTGTTTGAAACTAGCCCACATGCCCTATACCAGACTACAAGCGCCGTGAGGCCAGGTTCAGCATTACTTTTCCTCCTTTTACGACCACCAAGACCAGTGTTCAGATCCGATGGGAAAGGGAACCGGAGGGTCAGGCTGTCTTCAACATCTAACTTTACCTTATTCTAAAGCACAGCAACAGCAACAAGCCGGTAGCTTCAGATTCTTCAGTATCAGACATTGCCAGGAAACTTGAGGCAACCTGCAGAAAAAAGTGTGAAAGCTCTAAACCAAAAAGTTGATCCAATATATGCATCTACATGGAAGTTAATGGAAACACCTGGACTTGGGTAGCAGGCTTCCAGCCCAGCTCCTGAGGTATTATAGGAAAGGTGAGTGGCAGCTGCAGGTATTATGCTGACCTGAGCTGTCAAAGTCTCTCCAGGTTGCTCTCGCATGCAGTTGGAGATCCCATGGCTACAACCAGCCACAGCCCTTGGAAACATGCTGTACTGACCCACCAAGTAGCTCTCAAATTAAGTCTCCATAAGAAACCTACCTTGTTCTGAGGTTGCTGTGTTCCATCACTGTCATGACCCCGGAGTCCTCACTAACCAGAAAGCAACTTCAGTCATCCTGCAGCCTCCATCTGGCACAGCTAGGATGAGAGCAAAATTGTCCTGAGTAATCTTATTGTTCCTTTTGTCTGGTCTTCAGAAGCATAAAGGTTTGACTGTTCTTTGGTCCAGGTACTGATGCCTTAAGCTTTTGAGGGCAATGACCCAAAGCATCTGCCACTTGCCACTGGATTTTCCCAGTACAGATGTCCAACCGATTCCCATCTGCCCTTCCATACTGTCTTGGCAAGTTAATTCTCAAAAGCCTTATTCTGTTAACTCTAAATGCAAGACCCCATCAACGGAACATTTCTGTCGGCCTCTGGAAACATGAATTTTAATAAAGGTCTGTCTATATCTGAGAAATGGCAGGTACAATGGGAACTGTCTTTTCCCGAAATGTTGCAGATCAGTTACAGCAAACAGAACGGCGACCGTCAAGGAAAACTGTCACTTTGGGCTCCTTTTTGACCACAGCAGCTACGTGGAAGCAGCTGCAGCTTCGATAAGGGCCACAGGGCAATCTAGGTCACAGGACCAACCCAAGTGCTGTTCAGCCATCAGACTCACCTAAATTCTTTTTTTTTTTTAAGTTTTTTTTTTTAAATAACTTTATTTTTCCCCCAAAGCCCCAGTGGATAGTTGTATGTCATAGCTGCACATCCTTCCAGTTGCCGTACGTGGGACGCGGCCCCAGCATGGCCGGAGAAGCGGTGCATCGGTGCGCGCCCGGGATCCGAACCGGGGCCGCCAGTAGCGGAGCGCGCGCACTTAACCGCTAAGCCACGAAGCCCGCCCAGACTCACCTAAATTCTGTGCACATCGTTACTGCCTACTGAAATTCATCTCCGGGACATTCTGGAGACCAAAAAACGGAACAAAGACATTCCACAGATTCCAGTTACCACTTTATTTTACTATGTGCCAGTGTTTTGTCTCATTTAATCTTCACAGCACCATTTTATCATCCCCATTTTACAGATATAAGGTTTAGATCAATTAAGTTCCCTTACTGAAGGTCGCCTATCAATATAGAAAGTGACAGAACTGGGATTCAAAATAGGGTCTGAATGACTATACAACCCATCCTCCAGAAAACCTTGTCCTTATATCCACCAGGGTGACCTCCTTAACGTGTTGTGCAGCCTGAAAATTTAGGTGAAGTCACTTGCCCAAGATGACCTAGCAGGTAGCTGTCACAGGCAGATTCAATTCAAGGTCTGGTGACACCACCACGCGGCCCCCCCCAAATTCAGCCACTTCAGGCTCACACTGCCGTGCACCCGGCCACCTGCCCGCGTTACTTACCCGTCACACCTGAGTGCAGGGCTGCGCAGGCCGAGGTGGGAGAAGGGCGCTGCCCTCGTGGGTTCCGGCCCCTCTCACTGCGCATGTGGCCGACGTGGCCTTCTGGACCTCGGTCCCAGCAGCCCGGTAGGCCCGGCTCCTCCGTGCCACGCTCAACATCCCGCAGCCTCCGGAGGCAGCCCCAGCTGCGAGTGCGGAGTCGGTGGCAGCGAGGCTAAAGCAGGGTACGGCGGAGGATGGTCGTGGATCGCAGCACACCGCAATTCCAACACAACACACCAGGAACACGGCGGCAGAGCGAAAGGACGACGGTGGCCCGGGAGGGGGTTTATATAGACCCCGCCCCTCGCGGCGCGCCTGACAATTGGAGCAGCGTGTCGCGCAGCCCGCTGGGAGTTGTAGTCCATTCGCCTTCCGTCCAGGGGAGGTGCCTCCGGCTCCTAGCCCGACGCAAGTGCAAGGCGGGATCCCTTTCGCAGGCAATGGAGGAACCCTGTAAATAGTTTCTTCAGGGTCGGAAGAGGCTGATCTGCCTTCTTTCAGCGCTCCGTTAATGTCCTATACAGGGCACTGGGCTCTCAAATGAATCAGACCCGCCATGCCCTCTGGGGTTCAGTCTGAGAAGACATTTTTTTCTCTCCCCAAAGCCCCAATACATAGTTGTATATTCTAGTTGTAAGTCCTTCTAGTTCTTCTGTGGAGCTGCTGCCACACATGGGTACTGACAGACGACTGATGTGGTTCCCCACCGGGGAACCCAAGCGGGTCGCTGAAGCGGAGCGCGCAGAACTTTAACCGCTGAATCATCAAGGCTGGCTCTGGGAAGACGTTCCAAGTCGGGAAATTAAATCCGTGAGCTGGGAAGGGGCTCCGCCCAGACCGCCCTGGGCATGCGGAGGAGCAGCGGCTGAGTGGGTTTCGAGGAGGGGCTCTGTGGTCCTGGGGAGGGCTTCTTAGGAAGAGGCGATCGATTACTCACATGAGATGAATGCGTTATTTGTTCAAAGCTTGTCTCTTTTCTAATCGATAAATAACTTTATTGAGTGCTTACTAAGTAAACTATGCTCCATTATCTCAGCTAGTTTTCATAATAGCCCTGTGTATAAGTATTATAATTATGCCCTTTTTACATATAAGGAAACTGAGGAATGGATCACAGCTAGCAAGCGATATAATAGCTGGAATCCGGGAGCCCACCCCAGAGACCACACTCATAATCATTGTGCCATGTGTATGTTTTGTCCATGGAATCAATGTGTCAATATAAAAACAAATAGTACTTGTCAGAAATTAAGCACCTCTTCTGTGCTTCACTGTTAATTTTTATCCTTACATACACTTTAAAAAGTAGGTACTACTATTATTCCCATTTTATGGAGATGGCGACACACTCTGGGACGGTAAGAAACTTTCTGATGACTTCCAAATGTGTTTCTCCAGCCCCACTTTTCTTCTGAGCTCCAGACCTTATATCCTGCTGTTTCCTTGACATCTACGCTTGGATGGCTAATAAATAGGCTTCTCAGAACACAGCCTCTCCTCCTCCAAACCTGGTCTTCCTCTTCTCAGTAGGTCCTTGGAGTGACCCTGAACTACTCTCTTTCTCTAACATCCCACATCCAGTCCATCAGCAAATCCTGTGTTCTCCACCTTTAAGATGTGTCAAGAATCTCCTTATCACCTCCAGTGATGCCATCATTATCGCTGAACCACAGGATCACAGGAGTCTCCTAACTAGTCTCCTTGATTCTGCCATTGCTGCCTATAGTCTGGTCTCAACACACCAGCCAGGATGGTAAAGAGCAAACGTTTTTAATTTTGATGAAGTCCAATATATTGATTTTTTTCTTTTGTAGTTTGTGCTTTTTATGCCCTATTTTTAAGATCTTTGCCTAACTCAGAGACATTAAGATTTTCTCCTATGTTTTCTTCCAGAAGTTTAATAGTTATAGCTCTTGCATTTAGATCTATGATTCATCTTGAGTGAATTTTTATGTATGGTGTGAGATAAGAGTCAAGGTTTATTTATTTATCGCATATGGCTATCTAATTGTTCCATCTTCATTTGTTGAAAAGATTATCTTTTTCCACCTAATTGCTTTGGCCCATTTGTTAAAAGTCAATTGACCAAAAATCAATTGATCCTGGAGGCCGGCCTGGTGGTGCAAGCGGTTAAGCGCACGTGCTTTGCTGTGACGGGCCGGGGTTCGCTGGTTTGGATCCCGGGCATGCACCAATGCACCACTTGTGGAGCCACGCTGTGGTGGCATCCCATATAAAGTAGAGGAAGATGGGCACGGTTGTTAGCTCAGGGCCAGTCTTCCTCAGGGGAAAAAAAAAAAGGAGGATTGGCATCAGATGTTAGCTCAGGGCTGATCTTCCTCACCAAAAAAAAAAATTCAATTGATCAAAATCATGTGTAGGGGTCTGTTTCTGTACTCAAAACTACACTGTCTTGATTACTGTAGCTTTTTTTTTTAATTTTATTTATTTATTTTTTTCCCCCAAAGCCCCAGTAGATAGTTGTATGTCATAGCTGCACATCCTTCTAGTTGCTGTGTGTGGGACACGGCCTCAGCATGGCCAGACAAGCAGTGTGTCAGTGCGCGCCGGGGATCCGAACCCAGGCCGCCAGCAGTGGAGCACGCGCGCTTAACCGCTAAGCCACGGGGCTGGCCCTGTTTGTCAAATTTATCCCTAAGTTTTTCATATTTTTGATGCTATTATAAATGGTATTATTTTTGTCAATTTCAAATTCCAAATGGTCATTGCTAGTATATGGATAAAGAATTAACTTTTGCATATTGATTTGTATCCTGCAACCTTGCTAATTAGTTCTTATTAGTTCACTTATTAGTTCTAGTAGCTTTTTTGTAAGTTCTTTAGGATTTTTCACATGTCTGTGAATAAAGACAGGTTTACTTCTTCCTTCCTAATCTGGATGCCTTTTATTTCTTTTTCTTGTCTTATAGTACTGGCTAGCACCTCCAATACAATGTTGAATTAATAAGTTACATTTCATCAAAATTAAAAACTCTTGATCTTAAATGACATTATTAGGAAAATAAAAAGTAAGAGACAGGGGCTGGCCCTGTGGTGTAGCCGGTAAGTGCACGTTCTTTGCTGCTGGCAGCTGGGGTTCGGATCCCGGGTGCACACCAATGCACTGTTTGTCAGGCCATGCTGTGGTGGCATCCCATGTAAAGTGGAGGAAGATGGGCACTGATGTTAGCGCAGGGCCAGTCTTCCTCAGCAAAAAGAGGAGGATTGGCGTGGATGTTAGCTCAGGGCTGATCTTCCTCACAAAAAAAAAAAAAAAAAGGCAAGAGACAAACTGGGAGAAAATATTTGCAAAACATATATCCAACAAGGGACTTGTATCTACAACATAAAGAATTCTTAAAACTCAATAATAAAAAGTGAAACCACTCAATTAAAAAAAGTGGGCATAAAATTTGAAAGACACCTCACCGAAGAAGATAAACAGATGACAAATAAATACATGAAATGATGACCAACATCATCAGTCATTCGGGAGATGCAAATTAAAACTACAATGAGATAATATTACCAACTCATTGGAATGGCTAAAAATTAAAAAGGTTGAGAGTATCAAGTGATAACAAGAAAGTAGAGCCCCTAGAACTTTCATACAGTGTTCAGAATTGTAAAATGGTACAATCACTTTTGAAAACACTTTGTCAGTTTCTTAAAAAGTAAAACACTCACCTACCGTATAACCCAACATTGCACTACTTGGTATTTCCCAAGAGAAAGGAAAGCGTACATCCACGCAAAGACTTGAACATGAATGTTCATAGCAGTTTTATTTGTAATAGCCAGACTGGAAACAACCCAATGTCCTTCAACAGGGGCTTGGATAAACAAATTGTGGTAGATTCATACAGTGGACTACTACCCAGTTATGAAAAGGAACAAACCTCATACATGCAACAAAATGGAGAATCTTAAAATAATGTTGTTGAGTGAAAGAAGCTGAAGACTACATACGTATGATTTCATTTCTATACAATTCTAGAAAATGCAAACTAATCTCTAGTGATGGAAAGCTGATTAGTGGTTGCCTGGGAGTGGGGGGTCAGGAGAGAAGACTCAGAAAAGGACATGGGGAAATTTTGGGGGTGATAGATGTTCACTATCTTTTTTTTTTCCTGAGGAAGATTAGCTCTGAGCTAACACCTGTTGCTAATCTTTCTCTTTTTGCTTGAGGAAGAATCATCCTGAGCTAACATCTGTGCCAATCTTCCTCTATTTTGTATGTGGGATGCCGCCACAGCACGGCTGCCGATGAGTGGTGTAGGTCTGTGCCCGAGAACTGAACCCGGGTTGCCGAAGCAGAGCATGCCAAACTTAACCACTAGGCCATGGGGCTGGCCCCAGGATGTTCATTATCTTGATTGTGGTAATGGTTTCATGGATGTACACTTATGTGAAAGCTCGTCATATTGTACGTTTTTAATATGTGTAGTTTGTGTGTCAATTATACCTCAATAAAGATATAAAAAAAAAGTAAGCAAGAAAAAAATTTAAATCATGTAATTCACCTGCCCCCAAATCACTGACTCCTCAACACATTTGGAGTAAAAGCTGAAGTCCACATGATGGCCTCTGAAGCCCCGTGTGATTTGGCTCCTCCTCCTGTCTGCTCTCATTGCCTGCCACTTGCTTCCTCATTCATTCTGCTCCCTCTTCCCGGCCTCTCTGCTCTTCTTGAGAACCCCTTGCCTGCTCCCACCTCAGGGCCTGTGCACTTGCTGTTCTTCCTGCCTGGAACTATCCTCCCTGAATATCACAGGCATCCACTCCACTCCCTCACTCCCTCACTTCCCCTGGGTTTCTGTTCAAACATCACCTCCTCACGCCCCCCTATTTTGTATAGCACCCTGCCACCCTTCAAGTCGTTGCACTGCTTGACTGTTATTTATAGCACTTCCTGCTCCCTGTTATCACATTAGGTATGTATTCATTTTCTGTCTTCTCCATTACAATGTGAGCTCCCCAAGAACAGGGATTGTGTCTTCATTTTCACTGCTATATAAGTGCCTGGTATATGAGATGGCCAGCACTTATTGAAATAATTACTAAGCGAATGAATTAATTAATGACTAAAATCTGGCCAAGGCCACATACCTAGTAAGTGGCAGTAAACCCCAGATCTGTCTAATGCACATGTGC